TCATGGTAGCCACAATCAACCGTATTTTGGTCTAGCCCTCAATGAATTAGGGTTTAGGTGTAAATCTTAATTGTTTCACTGTAGATCATCAAATTGCAAGCTTTGGCTTTCTGCAGTAGAAGGTAAACACTTGACCAGGCAGTGCCTGTGTCTGCTCAGTACTTTGCCAAATGGAGTCTGTGTGGATCAGAACAGAAATACATCAGGGGGATTTGCTCCATCACTATCCTTAGTCTGGTCTCTGAGTCAGGGCTGAGCTGTGTTTTTCAGGTGATTCAAACTGATTCTGGACCAGCTTCAGAAGCAGAAATTATCAAGATGACAATGAGAAAGGATTATTTTTGCTTGGAAGGCAAAAAATGAGAAACAACTGGGCATATAGTCCTCAGATGTCAGCCAGAGATCTGGGAAGACCAGTGTGAACCCAGTTTTGTTAGTTGATAGGTTTCAATAACTTATTGTTTCAGAGAAAATACGGTGTTTTGCTTTTTTGTTTCTTTGTGTTTTTCTCCAAAGAATCTCTTCTTACTGAACATGTGAGACCTTCTTCATATCTGGAAGTTTCAAAGCTGCAAATCTTCATGTCTAAACAACCGTGTCAGTCAAGGGGGGAGACAATCACTCTGCTGCAATTCATTTGTTGACTGGCAGATGACTTGAGACACGAACCTGATCCAGCAAAAGCTGAAGTGCATTTAAAAATTTAAAGGTTAGACTGTAAGTGAGAACGGTGCTTAGTGCATGAGGCAGGATGTTTTTCTCAGCTCGTACTTGGACTCAGAAGGCATCAGGCAGCCAGTGGCAAAAATGTTATGAGCCTGACAAGCTTGTGCTGATGTAGATGTCTGTTAAGGCTTTGAACAATTTTTTATTTGTATACTTAAAAGTGTAATAATGAAATGCCCAAATCTCCTTGGAAAGTGTAAGAGGAAATTTTGGGTCATAGAAGGGTAACACCTTGCAAGTGCATCTGCAATAGCACAGATTCTATCAGAGCCAGAAGCCAGGCTAGGGCCTGGGAGGCATCACTTCTCCTTATGGCTCTGCTGTAGTTTCCCAGCATAGCTATGATGGACTCACTTAATTTCTGTCTAATTACTTGGATGCACAATATACAAGAGTTATATTGCTTGGAGTGGAATGTTACCAGGGCTGACAGTGTCATCTCTGGTGGTTGCATTGGGTGATGCCCTGGCACAGGAGCAGGCACGAGTGCTGAGAGAAGAGCTCAGAGCTGCGGTTTCACGGCATGTTGCGCCGTTGTATCTGAAATAACCGAGCTGGCTCGTGTCTCTCACTGCTCAGCCCTTTTGTAGGTTGACTCACGGTCTTCACAGCTGTTACATAGAAGGAACAAGTAGCTGGTGCAACAAGGAGTGTTTATTTTCTCTGCTAAATGTATGGTAATGGGTAGAGATTTCTCATTGTAAGAGCTGAAGGCAGGCTGTGTCGCAGTGTGAGGAGGGGCAGGATGTGATTCCCTACCTCCAAACATACCTGCCTCAGGCTGCCTCCACGGGGAGATTTGCCATTGGAAGGCAAGTCCCTTCACCTGCCTTGAAGTACAAATTGCTTTCTGGAGGTGCCTTGATGTCTCTCTGTTGACAGAACTCAGTGCAGTCACTCTTACAACTTGAAGTACATCCAAGTACTTCCAAGTACATCCAAGTGTTCAGGCTAATGCCAGGTGAAAGTCAACCAAAATACCAATCTCGGTGCTGAACAGTAATCAATATTAATGAGCCTTTTGCCCATCTTATCCCTTATTCAAAGCCAGATTAAATCAGTCAGGAGAGGGTGACTGCGCAGAGTGGGATGTGTCCTCCACCAGCCCATGGTTAACTGGTAACCCAGAGCCCCATTCCCCTGTGGCTGCTGCTGCATCCATGCAGACCAGGGAACGGTCCCTTCTCCAGACAGCTGCCCACATAGCTGTCTGATGCTGAAGGTGGTCAGCAGTGGGTGGCAGTGATATGCTCCCTCTGAACATGGACTTTCCTACCTCCTCACATGCCTTGCCCAGCTCTAAGCAAGTGAAATCTGTCTGGCTTGCAAAGCTTTGTGGTTGAGAAAGATCCCCAAGGAGCATTTCAGGGACACCCTGCTTAAAGGGAGTGTAAGCTCCTTTTTTACTCCCTAAAATGAAGACCTGTTTCTTCCACATGTCATCTAGAATCATACGCTGCTCAGGACACAGATTTTAGTCTTTGCATACTTCCCTCTCTGCCGGAGGGAGACTTCCAGCAATGCCAATAATAATAATACAGCAACAGCTTTCCCTTCTGCATCCGAGGGAATACTCTCCCGTGAGTGCAGTGGGAACAGCGTCAGGTCCTGTGGCTGTGTGTGGGAAAGAGGAAAGCACAGTGGCAGAATAAATAACTAAAACTGTGAAGGAGAAAAGCCCATCTGTTCGCAGAGGACCAGGAAAAGGCCAAACATCTGCAAGGTCCCCCCAGTTCATCAGGCATCTGCTCTCTGCTTCCCAATCTAAAAACCTTCCCATTTGTGGGGAGAGTGGAGCCAGCAGCTTATCTAACATGGGACATAGTCAGAAGAGCTGGTCTGGGATGCAGTAAAGCCAGCTGTCTCCTACTGCAAAGAAGAGTGTTTTCTTCCAAGCTCCAGGAAAGGACTCTTCTCTTTTTCTGTCCTTTTCCCAAGGACAGAAAAAGCTTACCACTGTGTTTTTTCTTCCAGGAGGAATGGATCTTCGGAAGGGGCAAAATGGTATTTGGTTTGTGTTTGTTTTAACAGTCATTGTTTTCCCCTTCTGTTATAGCAATTGTTATTTTTCCCTTCTGTTTATGCACAAAACCTGCCCTTTTCCCTCTCTCATCCCCTCCAACACATTCTCTACCTTGATTTTTCTTAGATGTTTTGAAGGGTTGTAATAAAGCAAGAGTGTCTGACTAATGTGCTGTGCAGGGAGATCAGTCTTTGGCATCAGAGCCAGGACTAACTGGAGAAACATCATCTGAAGCATATTTTTTGGGAAGTATGCGTCCCCTGGAGTTGAATTTGTTTGCAAAAATCGCGTTGGCTGGTTGGAGGGTCATTTTCAGAGCAAAGGAGAAAAGTTTACTTAGCACTCAAACATCCCAGCATTTTTTAGAACTAAACACTTAGATATTAATTTCAAAATCTTTCTACTTTTCTTTTTACTCTTTATTGTATTTCACATGATTTGAAATAAAAGATTGGATTAATTACAGGGCATAGACAAAGATACTGCAGATGTTATTGGACATAATTTTTTAAAAAATCAATCCTGAACTCTATAATAGACATGAGCCAGTAGGTTTCATGGGATTTTATGTATTGGAGCAACATGGTTGTCTTAAATTAGTTTTCAGTGTGTTGTTTTCAAACTGTCTTTGAGCATCTGTATTTAGGATGATACTTTCCTAGGGATTCACAGGGGGTTTTTTTGAGTCCCATTCATGCTCACTTTGGGGAAAATGGGAAGAAATTACTTTCCTGGGAAATAACATCCCTGAAAGTCCTAGGGGGAGTTTGTGTCTTTCATAGAGTGATTTGAAATAGAACAGAAAAACTTTCCAGGGCTGCAGACCCATCTGTTTCCCATGGCAGATGGCATGGAGGTGCTGTGCTGGTGGTGCTGCTCAGCTGGTGCCCATGACTGGGGTGGACTGAGCCCAAGGCTTTGAACCCGGGCACAGGTGGCCCAGACTGCAGGTCACAGGGGTTTGGCTCAGCACCTCTCTGACCTGAGCCTGCTCCATGGTATTTGGGGATGGTGCTCAGGGTCTCTAGCCGGGAGGCTGCATGGAGGTAGGGAGGGTCAAGCAGGGAGCTCATATTTCCTTCCGAAAGGGTTAAAATCCTCCAAAAGCAACAGTTCCTATAGATGTGAAATATCACACTTTTGTTAATCTGAAACTTCCATGCCAGGTGCTGCACATAGGAGAGCCAACTGCGAACAGCTCTACTTTGCAGCATCAACTTCATAAGGAGAAATAAAAACATACCGAAGTGGTCCAAATTGCAGGCAGCTGCTTTCCCAGGAGACAAATCCAGTATTAATGGCAAACGCTCTTTTTGCACCCTTAGGAGGTGCTTTCAGAGCCTGGTAGTGTGGTGTGTTCTTTTCCTGTTTTTTTTCTCTTTTGTGCTCCCATGTCACATGAAATTCTCAAGGATAACTTCTCTCTGCTCCCATCTCCCATTTCTTCTAAGCTGGATGGCTTCACAGCCAGTATGCTGCTTTGTCATCCCATCAGCGCTTTTAGAAGTTTAAGATGAGCAAATGGAAGTGTAGAAATTTTGTTCATCAGCCCCCTTGTAAAAATCCTCCCAAGTTAAAAGAGGTGCATGCTTCTGTGCTTGCAACTGGCCCATCATGTGGCTGTTGTCACTGAGAAGACCCTGTGATCTTCCCAGAAGTTCTTTACATGAAGCTATGAAGTCCCAGTAGGAAGAGGGAACTGCGAAGTGTGGCTGCCTGCCAGCAGCAGGGATGCAGGAGATGGGCAGGTCTAGATTTTGGGTTCCTGCTCCAGCCCTCTGTGTGTCCTCTGCAGCAGGGAATCCCTGCTTTTAGGTAGCACCTGATACTGTCTTTATAGGGATTAAGAGGTGCTGGCATAGTTTAGCACACAATGGGAGTGAATTGGATGATATCCATTGCAAGGTTAGACATGGGATGTTCATTGTTGCAAATTTTGTAGTTGCCTATGGCAGATTTGAAATGCAGCTTTGATCTGTGGAGCCACTTGTTGGTGCCTTCAGGCTTTGTAGCATGTCACCTTTTGCTGTGGAGTCTGAGCAATCTGACAGTGTTAATGAGCTGTCATAGCCATCTCCTGAAGCAGGGGTGGAGGGTGCAGCTGAAGATTTAATGGTTAAACAATGTGTTTTGTCCTGTGTCATGAAACCAATTGGCAGAGCTTCGAGTAGGGCAGGGTTCGTCCTTGATCATCCATGTCATGATGTGGGGAAATGCTGGTGAGCCTAAATTCTCCCATTCTCTCTCCTAGGGGACTTTCTTCCTCCCCCGCCACCTCCTGTGGATGACCTCGGGAATATCACATCATCACAAGGTGCCTTTCCTCCCCCACCCCCTCTGGATGATGTTACTTACAATGTGCAGGTAAGAAGACAAGAATTTTATCATTCTTGCAGAACTGACACAAAAATTGTGGAAATGAATGAATGCTAATAAAATGAGGTGGCAAAGTTCTGTGGTTAAAAATCATGTGTCGGGAATAACCAAGTCAACTTTAGCAAGCTGTGTTTCTCAAGCAGGGAATGTTTCCATTCAAAACTTGCTGGGCTATTAAAGGATTTTTCCCATCCGGCTTGAATTAGAAGACTAATTGCTTTGTGTCCTTGTGATGGTGGATGGGAGCGAAGCCTTCCCAGAATGAATTGTTTTCTGGAATGGCCATCTCCTTCCATGGACTGTGGAGAGACTTCAGGGCAGTAATCTGATCCTAAAAGTGCTTTGTTTCGGTGCCTAAAATTAAGTGAAGAAAATAAGCCCTGGCCCAGGCTTCAGTGATGTCACTGAGACCCTTTTCACCCCCTGTTTGCTGGATTGGATCTTCTAGATTCGCCATCTGGATGAAAATGCAACTTCTAAGATGCATCAGGTGATGATGGCATGTCCAAAGTGGGTGTGGACATACACTGAACACCTTTGAAAGGTATGAGCACATTTGTGCAGACATTGCAAGCTTGCCTGGAGTGCCAGCTACTGTTGTGTTTGCTCAGGCACATTCTGGAGAGATGCATTCAGACTGCAGGGACAGGCAGTCCAGGTGATCAAGGAGTAACGAGCTGATCTTGCCAGGGGGGACTAGAAGAGTTTGGCTTGTTAGCTGAGCAAAAGGAAGGCTGAGGAGGGGTATGGTTGGAAATTTGAAATACATTTGGGGATTAAGCCCCTAATTCAGCTCTATGTGAGTGTTGGTGCAGAAACAGGAGAGACTGAGCTTGCCAGGAGTACCTTCATGCTGGTGTTTAGAAATTTTATAAGCACTGAGGCTCCAAAGGTCTGGAAGAGCCTTCTGTGAGGAGCAGTGAGAACAAAGAGAGCGTGGTCTAGGTTTGAGGCTGGTGAGAGTTGTGTAAGCACATACCGACAACCATGTAGCTGCCCTTGATGGCCCTGGAAGATTGTGGCTGTCCTGTGTCTCTCGGTGGGTTTGAACCTGAGAATAGGCCAGCAGGCAGACATGAAACAGGATTCAAGAGACCTGACTTAGTTCCTGACCCTCTCACAAACTCTTGAGTCAATTCATCTACTTTGTGCCTCAGTAAAAAGAAAACATTTCCCTCCCTTGTGGGCTTGCTGTGATCTCTTGCCCATGGTGAGATGTTCAGATGGTATCACAAAGCCTCAGCCTGTTCCTGCAGTGGGTTCGGTGTTGGAAGCAGCCTTTGAGCAGGAAGGGGTTACTGTGGGTTGTGTTCTCCCTTGCCAGGAAAGGCTGCAGCCGTCAGGGACATTCGCCAAGTGCAGAGCATGGCTTTTCCCAGCCTTGGGGGAATGAAGTAATTCCCCAGCAAGTGTTGTTCTGTCTTTTATCTCTCTGAGAAGAGTGGACCCCGTGGGAGCCGAGGAGCTTCCAGAGCACCCTGGGAAGACGTGGAACAGCAGGCTCCTGGCGAAGGCAGGGCACTGCCTGCATGGCTGCCTGCACAGGAGCCTGAGTAGTGGAAAGGGGTCGAGATGCCTCACGTGATTCCTCAGGGTCAGGCTTCCCTCTTGCCACGTTGCCCAAGGAGGAGCTTGTGTCTTCAGCTCCACATGCCTCCCTTCTGCCAAAAGTCCAAAAGTGTATCTGAGCTGCTCGGGGCTGTCACGGGCACGTGCCCCTTGGTAGAACCACCCGACAGGACGGCTCTTCCTGCTGAGCTCATGGAATTGCTATTTGTCACATCTCTCTCTCTGGCTTTGGGAAACTGAGGCTGGAGCTGCGTTCTGTGTTGGGTTTTGGCAGGAGCGTGGTTAGAGCAAGATTCCTTTGCATGGTATCCTGTTAGGAGGAAGGTGAGCCTATGAGTTGTACCTGAGCACTCCTGCCTGTCACCACCCCAGGTGTACTCTTATGCAGCAAACATGGCTCCCAGCCTTTAATCTGTGCTCTCTTGTCACCTGTTCCCCTTTCTTTTCCCTTCCATCCTCTGTAGATCAGGAGCGGACAAAAGTCAGGGCTAAAGTCAGGAGCCAGCAGGGTTTTGTGTTGCAAGATCAGCTCCTTATCTTTCAAGAACAGCTAAAGCTGTGCTGAAGCAAGATGTGAAGCCCAAGAGAGGAGGAAAAGGGCAGCTGGTGATGGAGAAAGCTGTTCAGTGCCTTTGTGAACACAGTAATTTTCACAACTCTGGACAGACATTCTTGTGCTAAAGGAGCAGAACGAGTGGTGACTGTGTTCCTTCTGCTGTGAATCCTTTCTTAGCTCTCAGGAAATGGTTGCCTGAAATCAGGGATCTCATGAGCGTGTGTTGGGCTCCAATAGGCTGATTTTGTTCTCCAATGCCAGACCATTTCATTTCCATGCCTCAGTTTCCCCATTGCTGAATGTAAGTGCTGGAGCAGCAGACCCTCTTCCTGAGCATTGACCAGGCCTGAAGCTGCTGTCTGGGGCAGTTTGGCCCCTGTGGAGCTGGTGAGAGCCCTCCAGATCTACTCCAGAGTTTGAAATTTATCTGTTCCAGCAAATCAGCCATTTTACCTCAGAAGTTTTTCTCTGAATGGCACAGTGCTGATGACAGCTTATGAAATAAGGGTAAAGCTTTTTATACTAAATGTTAAGTTGATGAGGACAGCAGAATATGCGTTTAGTTTATTATCATTTCGTGTGTTACTGTTAGCAGACGGCTAAAAGCTGCACAGATTATTACAGTTTAAGTTGTAGCTTAAGAGCAGCAGTTAAAATAATAATGCCCAGTTTTCGTAGCCTTGTTTATCTCTGGATCTCTATTTGGGCAGTGGAACTGGCCACTTAGGATCAGATCCAAAAAGGTACTTTAGTATCTCACTTATGCTCTGATGGAAATCAGAGGAGGGCTGGGTCATGAAATACCTTTGTGATAGATCTGGCATTTTCTTGTAATTTCTGTTTTTCCATCTAGATCCTTCATATTCAGATTCACAGCAGTGCTGGGGAGGAAAGGGGAAAGAAATTTGAACTCTTTTCTTATTAGTTGGAATTCTTTTTGAAAGAAAAAATAGAAAGAAAAGGAAATATTTATTTTAAACAGTGTGTGTTTGGGATGGGGAAGAGTTGTGTTGGGAAGTTCCCCTTCAGCTGCAGTCAGCCGGCGAAGGCAAGGACTTGTTCCCAGAATGGTGGTGAGGGCGCGGCGATGGTGTGTTTGACAAATAAGGACATGAGCAAAGAGCCTTTTGCCACGTTGGCCTGGGCTCAGTTTAAAAGAGAAAGAAAAAAAATTCTGGACGGGAAGAAAAATGAAATCACTGTTTGTCGAAGGGAAATAGATAGATCTGGGAGGGAGGGAGGCAGATTTTTATTATGTTTTTGCCTTCTAGTTTCAAAACAGGCATTCTGCCCAGACCAGGGAAAGAAAAAGTGAAAAACTTGCATGAACCACCTCTCGAGTGCCCTGTTTGCTCACAGAGAGGACCCTTGCTCATGGCACTGGCAATTTCTTTCTTCTTTGCCAGGTATGGTTACTTAGGGATGAGGACTGTGTGCAGTGGGGTGGGAAACCAGTCCCTGCCCTGTGCCCCATCCTCATGAAGGCTGTCTCGGGGGTCATGGGTGCTGCAGGGGCTTCAGGTCTTCACTGGCTTTGATTGAAATGACCAGTTCTCCTTAAAGGAGAGGTTCAGAGCACAACATTTACTGTGGGGCAGGACCTGAGTGGCACAGAGCAGATATGACCCTCAGTTGCCAACTTGCCAAGGGCCACCTTGGGAAAACATCCATTTAAAAATTGCTACTAATTACCTGCATCCACTAATGGGTCTGATTTTCATTTGGGATCTGAGATGCTGCTGCAACATGGGATGGAGAGCATTGTGTTCAGCGAGGAGATTGCCTCTTTCCCAGCAACCCCTGGCTGTTATCAGTGTGTTTTTTATTGACAGGCCACAAAACACTTTACAAAAGAAATACCAGTCTCTTCCTGATAAGGAAGGTAGAGCAGGGAAAGTACTTTGCCTAGGTCACCAAGCTGACCAGTAGCAGGCTAAAAATAGGACCAAGATCTCCTGCATCCCAGAGCAATTCTATCTGCTACATCCCGCTGCCTCACTACTGTAAGAACTGCAAATTAATGAGTAAGCACCATCAGTGGCTGAACAAAGGAAGAATTTGGGCTATATCAAAAGGGATGTGAAGAAATGTTTTTAGGTTGGGAGTTAAAATGTAGAAATAATCAGACTTTGAGCAGTTGCATGAAGTGCAATATAAAATAGTTTAATATTCCAGTTCGTGCTATAACCACCTATGCTTGGAGGGGCTGCAGGGCTGCAGCTACACGGTTAGGGAACTATTCCCACGTTCAGACCTACTGAACTCAGTGATCCCATCATCCTGTTGTGTGATATGCAGAAAATCAGCCGAAGGGCTCAGATTCCTGATGCCAAGGAATTTTGGAAAGAGAAAATCTGAAACGCCGTCTGAAGGCGTGTGCGCCTTCCTTCGCGAGGCTGTTCAGAGGAGACCTGTGCTCGCGCCTGGGAGAAGGTGGGAATGTGTTGATAGATGCGGGAAGCGAGAGCCTCATCCTTGCTATGGAGGAGGCTGCCAGGTGTTTCGCTGCCCGACTCCGCTCCCCGCGAGCGGCGGCGGCGCTGCCTCTGTGGGCTGTGACTCACCGGCTGAAGAAACAGCCGGAACAGAGGAATTTTTTTTTTTAATTATTATTTTTTTAAGATTTATTTCTTCATTTTGGGCACACATGTTGACAAATAGCTGGGGAGGAAGGAGCATCAATTTTGCCAGTGGGGGGGTGCTGCCTTAAAAAGAACATCTCCTGTTTGGAGGCTGGGTTCTGCCCGTGGGTGCTAGGCTTGCTTAAATCACCTGCCTTTTAATGTTTGGAGAAGCTGAAAAGGCCAAAGAGAGCAGAACATGTGTTCAGCCTCCCTCTAGTGCTAGATTTTGTTAATCATCA